AGGACATTTATGCCGAGCTGCGACGTCTGCAGGCTAAAGGGCATGCCATCGACGGCAAAGTTGGAGCATTCGCAGAGGGAATCGAAACATCCAAGCTTTGGCAGAGTTGAACGGGCTTGACCCGGTATTTAATACCATAAACCATTATCCATGCTTCCTTCTTACTTCATCGCACACTACCCCCCGTCATTCCTAACCCTCCCCAAACCGCAATCCCAATCCCGCACGCCGCCCTGACCAACCCCCACCTCACCACCCTCTCCCTCACACACAGCACATAGCCGTCCACCACCCCCCCGACCAGTCCCAGGACCACCATCACAGCGTCCAGATCCTCGTACTTTTCCTGCGCGTAGAGTGTAAACATGAGAATGCCAATGACCGAGATGCGACTCGCGCCGGCGATGAAGGCTGTCTGCGCCTCGCGGGAGTTGACGACGCGCGCGGGGAAGCCGAATTCCCGCATCGCGGAGCGCGTCGGGCCGATGATGGGCCAGAAGCCGCCGACAGCTTGGGTGAAGGCGATGAAGAGGGCGGGGATGTGGCGGAGGTGGGGGTTGGGTGGCATTTTGTTGGCGGTGAGCTGGGGTCGAGTGAGCAAAAGATGTAGTGCTTTGGTAGTGGTACTTTGGGTGAGCGTCTACGATAGTGGGTTGGGGTGATGTTGTATTTGAGGGAACGGTTTAGGCAGAAGGGTTCCCTCCGAGCCTCGCATCAAGGCGGAGATAAGCGGCGTGTCGGCGGATTTCATGACGATCCGGTCTGATCGGGCATGTCAGCATGGAGACCCAACAGTGTTTGTTGGTCTTGCCATAGTTTGGCCCCCGCTGACGCAGCAAGATACACACCAACTGGCAGCCACTTGAAGTCAGTCGCTCAAGGTGAAATAACCTGGCTCCAGCTCCTGCAAGTTTGGATTAGGACGAGCCTCCGGCTACCTAAGTATGTGTGGTGTCTCCAGCGTTTCCCTTGCATACCCCTCTGCTGCCCTTTCCCTGCGCACCACCTTGCTACTCCCTGAATGTACCCTCCCTCATGACCCGCGGCTCACTCCCCTCGGGGTTCCTCCAATACATTTCCAAAGCCTCCTTGGCCTCGTCGGCGCTGCCCTTCTCCAGCCACCCGGCGTCCTCCGAATCCCGCATCACCACCGTCAACCAGAACCTGCATCTTTCCCACTCGGGTGAAAAGTCGAAGGCGTCCCGCCCGGTTTCGCAGACCAACCCCAAAAAGTCATCGACTTTGGCGGTGCGTAGAGGTTGGTAGGTGAAGGCGTGGAGGGTTTCGCCGGTGTATTTTTCGTCGAGGTCGACATTGCGAATTTGTCGCTGCTGGAGATGAAGCTAGGGGGAGATTCTAGGAGTTGGTGTTGCCCACTATCAGAGACAGCAAAAGCAGGACGTCCTAGGTATCCTAATCACAAGCAGACCTCGAAACAAATATAAGAATAGGGCTTTCACAACCATCGGGCACACAATGCCGCTGTGGCGGCGCCTGTCCGTATTTGAGTATTTATTCCAACTGAACACCCAAAGCAGCCAAACACTACCATGACGCTCGCTTATAACCGGAACTCCCCCACCTTGATCTCTCGCCTCTCGGACCCTGCAGGAAAGGCCCAGTACATGGATAGGACGTTTTCAGCCTCTTCCACACTCTTAGGGGGAACATATCCAGCAGACTGGAGGTCCTTGGTCACCGTCAAATTCCAAAACCTACACCCCTCCCTCTCGGGCGTAAACTGATACTTCTGCCTCCCAGTTGATGAGATCAAGTCGACAATCCTCTGAACCGTGACGCCATGTGTGATCGGGAAAACGCATGTCTTGGTGCTATTCCGAGTGTAAGGGTAGTTCTTGCTGGAGATCTGAATCTTGCCTCGGAGCCAATCGGAACCGTAACCGGGCACCATATCAATACGGACGGAGCGCTCGCCAGAGAGCTCCAGGAACATGCACCAGTGGTTGGCTGCTGGGTTGCTATCCCCGCCGCCTTTGTTGCTTTCGTTTTTGAATGCGGTGAGGTGGATCTGCGAGACCTCCTTAGGGAGGCCATCGCTCTCAAACTTGATGGAGCCCAGTTGCTATCCATTGTTGATCGTCGAAAGCGGTGGAGAAAGGTGTTGTGGACTGAAGTGCTGTGCTCTGGAGTCTGGAGAGCTCTGTGTCGCTGACGTCTTTACCGTAGTGGAAAATGGCCTTATAACAATGGTTGTTGTGCTTGTACAATGTGGTTGTTATGCTTGTACAATGGCCGCAATCCTCGTACGGCAACAATCATTGCCAAGTGAACAGTCATTGCCAATCCAACAGTCATTGTCAACCCAACAGTCATTGTCAGGTTTGTACAAGTCAGATTGCTAGAATAGGGGTCTGCTGGAGATATCGGCTTCCAGTGGCCACCCTCTGTACCTTGAAGCAAGCTGTAGATCGTGGATGGAGTGGAAGATGGGAAGGTGGAGGACTAGTCGCCTCGTCCGGAGAGATGAAAAGGCCTTGGTCCATTTCAATTTGCAACGTCGGAACTCTCTCCTTTGCCGCCACTACCACCGCCGTCTCCTCCCCGGGCCCCTCGTTCCCCAGCCGCCTCTCCACCGCCGAGTTCGAGCGCACCACCCTCTCCTCCCCCTTCGACCCCAATACCTACGCCCTCGGCGCCCACCACCACCACCACCACCACCACCACCACGGAAATCGATCCATCCACACAGGCAAGTCCTCCAGGCCTACAGGCTTCTGCCGCTTCCACAACCTCAACTCAACACATCTTCTCGCCACCAACCTCACATCGTCGACCGTAGTCTCGCAAGCCTGTTCAACCGCACGCTCGTGAGGTTCCTCAGCTGTAGCACGCGAGCTTGACGGCACCCTCGTACGTTTCTTCGCCGTCGACAGTAAGCACCTCGTCTCGCACCATTCCGCCCTATGCTCTTCGAGACCGAAGTCTCCGCTATTACGGAGCTCTCCCCCGCTGCCACCCTATCTCTTCCCCCCCGAACCACGAGCCAAACCTTTTCCCCAACAACCACTTCTCCTCCTCAACTACCGCTTCTCCTCAACCACTGCTCTTCTCGTCGGAGCGTAAGCCGCCATCTTCGCCTTACGACTAATGGTCAATACCTATCTCGTTCAGTCACCATACAGCTCAATCTGAGCCCTTTCGTCCTTGACTTGACCCCTCCCCCTCAACCACGCCCCCCTCAACCCGACGAAAATCTCCGCTGCTTCTGCGAGTGACGAAGAGTTGGCATCACACTCGCTTCCCGTTGAGCGAATAGCGTGCTCGCGACGAGCAATCTGCAGCCATGGTAACGGGGGATGCAGTGGACTTGTGTCTTACACGGGGTCGGGGCCAATCACGGGGCGGGTGGAGGTCGGATACTGGGAGGATGTGGTACTGTGCCCCGGTTTTTGGCTGGGCAGGGAGCTATTTTTATTAGGAGGATATTTCGGGGATGATCGATCGTCTGGGGCAAGGGCGAGGTGGTGGATGAGGTTGCCAGGCCGCTGGGGCGATGGGATTGTTGATGCGAGGCATCATCCTTGCGGGAGGCCTTTGGAAACGCATTTGAGAGTCTGGTATGTTCTTCGTTAGTCTGGTCCAGTCACCCGTTCGTGGTAGAGTCTGCACCGGAAGCCGAGGGTTCACTCCCGGCATGACCATCGCTGCGGCAGAGATGGTGCTTGGTTCCTACATGTTGGAAGGAGGCGTTACAATGACCGGCAAGCTGCCAGTTCAGAGTCGAGGTTGTTGTTCGGTGGCAAGCTCGTGCCAGGCTCTTCTCTCTGCGTATCTCGGGTGCCTTGACATTCCATGATTCGCCTCCCATTAGCGAGTTGCAAGTCCGACAGCAAGTTTGACCACAGTTTACGGTGTCTCGGGTTTGTGTGGTCTTGGTATATCGCCCGCCTCAGGGTCCGTCGGTCCACGACATGACATCATGCTGGCTGGGCCGCATGATGTAGGACATCTTTAGGTCGCTGGTCTTCTCTGATGTCGATTCCGCCCGTCAGGAATATGGTAAGTTTGCGTGACCTGCCTGATGACGACTTCCAAGGTCTAGTGTTCTCTTCATCGAATTGTCAGGGGATTTGTTACATTCTTTGGCATTTCCAAGCCCCTGCGTGTATCTTGTGGCCGACTGGACGACTTGAAGCAACGCAGAGCAAGCATGCGCCATGATCCAAACTGAGGACCATTTCTGTGGGCTCGTGTCGAGCTGGACGTGTCCATGTACACTGTCCAGCATCAGAGCGACCGCCCATGTTGGCCGGACTAAACCGAAGAATTGGCGACGGGCAGGTTCTTCGGAAATTATTGCTTTCATGGCCATCGTCCGAAATCTGTGCGCGCAATGCCGGGCGTCGTGACACCCCGGTGGCTGCTGGCGAAGCCATTGGGAAATTCTGGTTGTAGAGAAAGATCTGTAACTGTGACAACAAGTTCCTTCGGGGCGGAGCTCTTCGAGTTGATGGAAAGTATAGCTGCGGGGCAATGAGGGAAGGGGGGGGGGGTCCCCCGACTGCCATTGATGGACTGGTGGAAGTTTCCTGGTAAAGGTCTGGACATATACCGATGCGGCTGTAGCAATTTGGAGGGATAAGGGTTCGAGAGTATAAGTTGGCCTAGCGCCAGCCGTTAAATCTGTAAAGGCCTACAATAATGGCATCAATACCTTAGGTAACGTGTCGACTTTAGTATTATTAACGTTTCGTAGGCTAAGTAAGACGGAGGAGGAAAGGCGGTGCCTCGAGCAAATAAATCGTAGCCGGCGAGAAGAGGGGACCATATATAGAGATAGCCTCAGCGCCATTCTCTTTTTGATAGGCGGAAAAATGTCAAAAAATTTGAACATATATTTAAATATATTCCTGGAACGTACATGTCAGAGTTTCCATCTGTGTTCTGCACCTAACGGAGCACAAAGGTTGTTCTCTCTGTACATGGATATTAATTTAAGCGTTCATCAAACCAGCCATGATAAGACCAGGTAACGCTAGTGAGGAGGCCCGGATTCGAACCGAGAACCTCTGGGTGCTAGCCAGAGTGCTTGCCCATTTCACCACCATGCACTCACTCCATGAACCTTTTCAATTGCCAGGTAGTTCGAAATCTTGGCCTATATGGGCAGTTGCTGCAATATTTGGGACCCACCAACGAACCCTTTCATCCAATTTCAAGGCCGGACCCCACCGCTGCCTGCGGTGCCTGAGGACCTCTGGCGGGAGAGTGACCCCCCCTCCTCCTCCGCCGTTTCTGCTCTTAACTATAGAAAGATCTGATTTGGACTTTCGCAGGAGCATGTCCGCGCAACCGCCGACTCAGAATCTGGCGAGGATTTATACCCGATTCTTTGGCTACGAGGCAGGAAAATGAGATTGGCATTTTTGCTCACTTTTCTCAGGGGCAGCCCCGGTTGTTTACTTTGTCAAAATCATGGTTTGGTAGGAGGAAATGTGATGAATGACTCTGTGATGCGAGAGCTGCCCTCGAAATCACTTGTTTGCCTGAGGTTCCTGTTATCTGTCTCCGGTTGTGCGCTAACAATGTCTGCCAGCTTGAGCCATTGCAAAAGTCTCCCACGCCCGAGTGCCCTACCTTCAACTTGGTTCCTCCCCACCGCCAACTCTTCTCCAACCGACTCCCAGCTTATTCAACCCAAATAACCGTCATCGTCGAATTTTTCGCGCCTCGATTATTCTGTCTTTTGAGTTGAACAATCGCGCCATCACATTTCGTTCTCTTCGGCGTCAGTACACCACCAACCCACTTCCATCCTCCATTCACGATAACCAATTCTTGCTAACCAACGTTTGATGTCACTAGTCAAGATGACAGATACCACGAGCGAGAAGAGAAAGCGTGTCCAGGGCAGCCCTGACAAGGGCAATCGCAAAAGCCCCGGGATTCCAATCAAACGAGCCACACCGACGTCGAAGCCACTGCCCAAGATGGCAAGTCGGCCATCAAGACCGAGCCCGACGTCGAGTCGGCCATCGAGACCGAGCCTGACGTCAATGTCGACTCCGAGTCAGAGACCGAGCCCAGCGGCAAGCCAGCCCACGAAAAACAAGATGTCGAGAAGCCCGATGAGCAAGTCGAAATGGTGAAGCAATCAACAAGCGCTTCACCCCCGCCAGAGAAAGAGGAGGAAGACAAGCAAGGCTGCTCCTCGGAGCAAGACAACCCCAGTCCCCCTGTCGAGGCGTCCGAGAACACCTCGACAAAGGGTGGGGCCGAAAGAGAGGCACTAGTTGACAAGGCACCCGCAGTCCTCGTCACACCCGCCGTGACGAGGGCATCGCCACTAGGAAGAAGAGTCCTCGCGTCGACACCACTAACGGTATCGACATTTCCGCCGTCTCTCTCAAACCCCATGGCGCTCATTCCCCGCCCCCATCCGCGTCGACCGAGTCCATCCACGATGCCACCGCACCCAGTGCCAACGACGGTGCAGCGTCACAGACGCTCGCCCGTCCGTCCGCAGCACCCACTCGCCCTTCCGCACCAACACGCGCGCTCCCTCCCGCGCCACGCGCACCACCCGCCGCCGTCGTGGCACGCACCGCACCCCCCCAGTCCCTGGTGCTGCACCACCCCGAGCCGCCGCTCGCCCCGCCCACGCCGCTCGCCCCGCCCTCGCTGCCCGCCACGCCCCCGCCCGCGCACCGCCAGCTGATTTGGAAGACGTAAAGCGAGGGACAGACAACCGCTTCATCGAGATGTACAAGGAGCTCAAAAAGCCCTACATCAACAGCGACGCGCAGCGGAGGGGCCTCGAGCAGATGGCGCCCGAGAACAAGCGCCTGCTGTGCTTCGGCATAGACGGTATCATCTACAAGTGGTACCCGCAGGAGGGGGGGTCGCGCAAGGAAGTTGCAATAGCGGTGCGCAACGGGGGGTTGTCAGAGGACGTGAAGTAGGCGATATATTGAATTGACTGAATAATGAAGGTGCATAGCCTGTGGGATCCCCTGGTGGATGATATCACGAGGTTTAGTAGAAGGAGCCGGGTGGCCCATGGTAAGCCGTGCTTTCCGAAGCGTAAGGAGAAGGTGAGGGCGCCGCCGCCGGTGAAGAAGGACCCAATAGAGGAGGAGTGGACGACGAGGCAGACGCTGGAGGAGATATACCATGGTTTGTGAAGAGACGGAGGGTTGGAGCTTGTGAGCTGCAAGGGCGAGGGGCTTAGATGGATCAAAGAGGGGGGTTGTGTGTTTTTGTCTCTGGATCATGGATGTCGGTCGGGGCAGGGACGGCCACAATACCGCCCGTTGCATGGTCACGAAGTTGCTTGGGCGTTGATGGGGGGTTATTTGTTCAGCGTTGGTGCAAATGGGAGCCGGCGTCAAGAGGACAACCTGAGTGTGTTTTAGTTGTGGGAGAATGGCAGGTTGTTAAGTTGCTCTTGTGGGAACACTGATGTGTGCTGGAAATGAGGAAAGGTATGGGATGATAGGGAACTTGAGACTGTGTATTGTCCAATCCTGTAGTTATCTGCGTTGAATAAATGAGTTCCACGCATTGTACATGACCCATTCTACCAAAATTACAGCCATGGCTCTAGCTCCGCCGCCGTCCACTCCCACAACTTGCCGCCCAGCTGGGGATCCTTGCTGGCCTTCGTCGACCTATTGGACAGATCCCCAACCGGCTCGTAGTAGCCGCCGGGTTTGATTTTGTCGCGGGGAGAGCCGATAGCCCATAGCAAGTTGTGCGTGCCATTCTCTGGGGTCTTCATTTTGCCTATGTTGGGGAGGTATACCAGCGCCTTGTCGACCAGCCCGAGGTTTGTGACCAACCCGGTTGAGACGACGCCAGGGGTCAGGCTCAGCGACACGATCTTTGGGTAGCGCGCCGCCAGCTCGCGAGCAAAGATCATGTTGGCTAGCTTGCTCTGGCCGTACCGAAGCCAGCGGCCGAGAATCTTGAGGTCCTGCTGCGACTTAAGCCGGTCAAACTGGATGCCGCCTGGAGGAGTGCCAGCCCAGGCCGCGCTCGTTACCATGACGATGCGGACGTCGGAGCCTTCGAGCTCGCTCGTGGTCTGTAGCAGCGGCAGCAGCTTGTGCACTAGCAGGGCATGGCCGAGGTGGTTGGTGGCGATGTGGATCTCGTAGCCGTCGGGTGATACGCCGGCGGGCACGGCCATGATGCCGGCATTGCAAACGAGCACGTCGAGGCGTGAGAGTTGCGCAATCAGCTTGTCGGCGGCGGCTTTGACGCTTGCGAGGTTGGCGAGGTCGACCTCGATGAAGGTGATGGGGACGTCAGGCGCGGCCTTTCTGGCGCTGGCTATGGTTGCCTCAGCGGACGTGACCTTGCGGCCCGTGAAGAGGACGTGGGCGGGATTGTGGCGGACCAGCTCGATGACGGTGCCAGCTCCGACGCCAGCAGTACCTGGACGGCTCCTTGTCAGCCAGGCGCGCCCTCAAAAAAACCCCAAAAAAAACTTCCAACTGAGAGACTCTGGATTGCAGTACTTACCACCAGTAACGAGGATGACCTTGCCCGTCAGGTCTGGCACGTCCTTTTTGGGTTCAAACCCAGGCATCTTGATCGTACTCAACCAAAATATTATGCCCCTTGGAAGGATTTGTAGCGGTGCTTGGCGGGCAGAGAGCAGATGAGCAACGAATCAAGAGAAAACAGGACCAGTCTGGATTTTCGTCTGATAACACACCAGCTTCGTTGTTGAACAAACAAGCTGAAGCAACCGTTTTGCAGCTGCTGCGTTTTTGGTTTTATGCTGTCGGACAATCTTCTATTCTGCGGAGCGATCATCTCTCCGCGTCCAACCCAACGTTGCAACCAACCAAGACTAAATAAATGCAAACAATATGCAGGCACATGCGCTTCGTCATTTGCAGGCTCGGAAAAGGCCCACGATCATTCGCCAGACTCCCACAGCGCGATCCCTCTTCACTGCTCCGCCACGGGACCAACCGCGCGAAAATCGGTCGCGGCTTGTTGCAGCCTGGTGAAGCGCAGGTTCTCATATGCCATCGCGCTGGTCGTGATCACCATGCTCCCGGCCGTCTTGTTTCGCCGCATCGTGCTCCACGCCAGCTTGACGAAATTCAGTACGCCGCGCAGATTGACGTCGAGGACACGTACGTCAACGCCGGCTTGCGCCACAGGGTGTGCATCTCCGAATCCCGATGCCAGTCCAGTTCTGTGTTCACCAGTTCCATATCGTACTTCCAAAATAACTTTGCCAGCGTCTTGCGCATTTCCATGTATCCGAGGCTGCGAGAAAGTAGCCAGTCTTGTCAAACTGTAGATTTTGAGTCAAGAAAGGGCTTACTTTCTGCCTAGGCATCCGCGATGACCGTTGGATTAAAGCATCCCGGGGAAGTACACGTATGTCTCCCTAGTTTTCGCCATACTACCGCTCTGGCTTAAACGTTTTGTGGTCTTCAAGGTTGCCCGGATCCAAGCTCGCTGCAATGGGGTTGGTGGAGATGATGACGCCTGCGGGCAACATGTGGCCGTCTACCGTGTCGCCCCCCTCGGGCACCACGCGTGGGAGCGCAATCGGGAGCGGTTGATAGATCCTGAGCCCCTCCTGGATCACAGCACCCAGGTACGGCAGATCCAGAGTCGACTTGGAGTTGATGTCGCTGTACGTCTTGAAACTCGTGCGGATTTCCCTCCGGAGGTTCTTCATGGCCTTGGGTGTCCGCAGTAGGTAGTAGGTGATGGCCGACAGGGCCGTGGCTGTCGTCTCGCTTCCGGCCAGCACAAAGCCAGACGCATGTGCGGCGATCTGCAGATCTGACAGTTTGCTGGGCTCGCGTTGTTGCTCCGAAAAATAGGTAACTCGACCTTGGCGTAACGGGTTAAGAGATACTAAAGGTCCAGAGTAGCCCTTTGGAATCCGAATATAATATATATAGTTTATCGACCTATTAAAATTGCAGGTTTTTTCTTCTCTGTAGTTAGAGTAAAGGAAAGCGCGGCTAGGTGTGGTGGTAGAGGTCCCAAAACTCAGTCCTCGTAACTCCACCGCCATTTTAAACCCGTGGCAACTGTAGCTGAGGCAGCCTAGAACTGTGACCCCTCGCTCATTC